TACTTTAACACTAATGTGTACATTTTACAATATATAATTTTATAATATATTTCTGTTGGTTTCTATTACATTTTTATCAGCAATGACTGGTCCACGAGTTCTCATGGTTTTTAAGGGATTATTTCCACGTGTATTTTTACTGCCTTGTATGTAAGGTAATATTTACAGTAAAGGTAATATTGAAATTGCGAAAAAATTTCGGGTATCATATTTAAGTGAAAATATCCATTTTGACTGCTGTCGAATCCATTTGAACGATGTTTCAGCGTAACATCTGTATATACAGACAGAATAAATGGCTGTTATTTCCAAAACAGATTGTAAAATGGATTCAGAAGAAATTTTTGTCACATCTACATACATACGTACATATGTATCTTGTTTAACTCAAGAACGAATAGCCGCAGAACGTTGAAATTTTGTATATGGGACTTCTATAACATCTAGTTGTACACCTTCCTTTTGTGTTGTAATCGGTCACACCCAAACATATATTCCCGTTCTGTTACTCGTCTCGGCGAGTCCAATTTTGTTTTATTCTTATATGTTCGAAAATCGTACATTTTTTTGGTTTTAAAAGTGATTGAATTATATTGTTCTTATGTCCCGGTCAAGGTTTTTACGCCTGTAGTTAATCTGCATTCAATAGTTGTAGAATAATCAACAATTCAAAAGTTTAAGTGACGCTAGGCCTAACGAGGCAGCCATTTATTTACATCTAAACCTTTTAGTAGGATAGTGAATTAAGCAAGGAGGTTAGAACCTCCTTGGAATTAAGTCAACTGGTGTTGCAACTTCAGCGTCTTTTTGCTCAGTGAGACTAAAAGTTAACTTTTAATTTTGTGCACCAAATATGTTGCCTTCTTGCCCGCTGTCTGAATTTCTTGTTTTTGCTTGGAAATTCTAATTTTAATTGTAAAAATATTTTAAAACTGTATTTGGTTTTTTAGGTTTTTCTGTATTTTACAATTTTTAATGAAGATGTTTTGAGATTTATGCATGTTTGCCTTTCCACGATGTGAGAACTGAAATGATTGAATGAGAAATACATCTCTAATGAAATTCAAGGAAATAAATTTAAACGAAATGCAGCAAAAAATGTGTATAATTTAACAGGTCGTACAAGGAAGTCATGTGGTGTCCACATAAGATATTTTATTTGGGGAAAAAATAACTGATTTAAGGCTTAAGTTTAATTTTACAGCTACTGGATGTTTCAATTAATATACTCTTCTTAGCTGGAATTCAAAAGTTTTATATAAAGCGGATATAACTGTGAATAACCAGAACTTGAAGCATAAAAATTCAAAAAAAGTGTGGACATGGATCACAGAAGTATAGAAATTGGTCTCACTCAACTTACTTTCACGCATGGCTGTGCTTATTATTTAGTCTTTCAAGATGATGAAAATGACAGATGAATGAATACACAGTACTACGCTGGCACAACGATACATCAAATTAATGAAATTACAAATTAATTAATATTTTGATATAATACAGCAAACACAGATGATTATCCTATTCATCGATTCTTAATGGTACAGGTAAATGTTAATTTAGTTTCGTTTTCAAGTACTTCCATCTAGCAAAAGTAGACTATTTACAAGTCGGTTATAGAGAAAAATTTCAAAACGTTAAATCCATAATCAAGTCATGATTTCTAATAATAATCACATGCAAAAGGTATTACACGAAGATAAATAGCTGTATAGTCCTATCTTCAAAAAATTTGCATATATTTACATCTTGATTAATAAAAATTAAAAAAACAATGGGTGAAGAACATATACAAATATACAGAGTATGTATATATAATATATCTAAATTTAAATTAGCAATAAAAATCGTAATAACTTTTCTGGACTGCGCAATTTCTAGATTAATGTATGTCACATGGCTTGCGTAAGAACTGAAACCTTTCTAACAGGACTTAAATTTCTAGAAGTAGAATTGCCGGAGCCTTATGGAAGACCGTCAAGAAAGAGGATCAAGAGTAAATAAATAAATAAAATGAAAAATAAAATTATTAATAATTTAAAAATTAAATAGTTAATTAGTGTCACATTGATTATTTAATTGATATTAATAATTAATATTTATTAGTTTAACTGATAATTATATTAACTCATAATTAATTTATTATTATTTATAACAGTAACTTAAAGTAATTAAATAATTAAAATTACATAAAATGTACAGAAATAAATTAAAATTCAATAAGCGATTTTTAATATAATTTTATTGCTAAAAATAAAATTTTCGAGATAAAATTTCTACTGAAATAATTGTTCAGTTACATGAAAGAAGTACCGGAGCGCTCCGGCTAGAATTAGAATTTATCCCAAAAACTAAGAAGAGCCGAGCTCCGGCGAAATTTAAGCTCTGCTTTCTAACCTAAACGAAAACCTTCTTTTGGTGAGCTTCCATAAACCTTCTTTTGGTGAGCTTCCATAAACCTTCTTTTGGTGAGCTTCCATACTGGGTAATTGCGCACTATGTGCCGCTTGGTCGCTATTTCATTCCGCTCTCTTTCTATCGCAACAGTATTAAATATGCATAATTGGGTGCCAAGTAAATTGTGACCACAAATGTCAGTTGAAATAAAAATGAATATTTAATCTCACTCGGCTGCCAAGTTTCCTAATCATTACGGATTCAACATTTTAGCATTCTACCCAGTCAGAATTCTTCCTCTTCAATACGTACCTACGTTCTAAGCTATCCAAGTGCTATGCCATCAACTTTGCTAAGCTAAGTTTTTTTTTTTTTCTCTTTTTCATTATATTTTAGTCGACAGGATTGGACCAGATTCTACAAATTTCAGCGGAAAATGTATTCGTCACCTGGATTTTGGCAAAATGTCTACAAAAGTCAAATAAATGTGCCTGCTTATCTGCAAATAAAAAAAGTTCGAACGTCTATGTGAAAATGAAGTATAGAATTTATTTCGGCCACTTCAACAATATTTAATATTTAAGCGGGAAAAATCAAGTGTGTTTTAAATCATCAAAGTGATTTAATGCTCAGAAGATTCAGCATTACATTGGTTCAAGGTTGTCGATCGGTGTTTAATGTGCTTCAAGTATGTGCGACAGAAAATTATTTGAGCTTTCACCTTTTTCTAATAGTATTTCTTAAGACGAAAACTGAAAATTGCAATCTTCATGTGAACTTAACCCTTTCGGCCCCACCGGGACATATATGTCCCGCAAATGTTTCCAAATCACCCAATGGGAAAAACAAGCGTAAAATTTATTGCCGCGAGTGTCCCACTGGTTTCCTGTGATTACATCTACCTTTTAGTGTAATTTTTTCTCGATAGATGACACTAGTGCCCTGTGAGCTCTTTGTTTTATCGTAACAGTTTTGACAAGCGGGAAAGTTTGGACATTCTGGCAGCCATTTTAGGCGAAGATACATGAGTGGACACACGTGCTGTTTTCGTTGTATGTGATTTTCGTCTATTTTTGCCATATCAAGCAGTTTATTTGAAGTAAGTGAATTTTCATTGTAGATTTTGAAAAAAAAAAAATAATATTATGGGACATATATGTCCCAATGGTCTGTTTTATTGGGACATTATTGTCCCAGTGGTTATTGAAATATATCTATGCCTCATTCTCAAAATGGCCATTTCTGTATTTTTAGGCATAGCAATATCATGAATCGCAGGAAGGGATTGACAAAGGAAGAAATAATTAAATTATTGAATGAACCGGATTCAAGTGATGAATTGGACGATTCAGATATAGACAAGGAATATGTCCCTAGTTCCTCAGACAGTGATAGCTGTGAAGAATTGAGAGAAAATTCAGGAACATCAAGGGCACCGAAACGAAAGCTGTCATGTCTTGAGCATTCATCAGAACCCTCCGTTGACTCGGACTCTGATGATTTCTCACCCGATGAAGCGGAGCAGGTATCAAAAATATAAGTGCAAGGCAAAAAAAAATAAAACATAAAAAAAAAAACTATTTCAAAAACCTACTGATCCTGTCATTTGGTCAAATGTTGGTCGGTCCAAATTTTGAGCCACGGCTCCATGTATCTAAAGACCGTCCAACTGCAATACTGGCCAAAATCAACAGATCCTCTAATGAATTAGAATGTTTCTCATGTGTATTTCCACGAAGTCTTCTTATTTTTATTTCTCAATGTACCAACCAGCGCCTTGAAATACTGAGACATTAAAAAAAGTAGATATTCCTGACACAGACCCTTCAGAAATTATGCTTGTGTTGGGAGTTATGCTTGTCATGTCGTATAATCAAGTACCGAACTTTTCAGATTATTGGTCCAGCAATTCTTCATTGGGAAACGAAGCTATCAAAAATGCGATTTCCCGTAACAGATGCCTATTGTTCTTTGCAAAAATGTACTTCAATGATCCAGAAAAAGATGCGAATGCTCCAAAGACATATTATATGGATGAAGTGGTGGCATGTTTCAAAAGGACATTTATGCAAGCTCGCGAAGATAGTCCCTTTCAAAGCATCGATGAATCCATGGCTAAATTCAAAGGTCGTTCTAGCCTAAAGCAGTATTTACCCCTAAAGCCAATAAAACGGGGAATCAAAGTGTGGGAGAGATGTGATGCTGCTACGGGCTACACCTATGACTTCAATATATATTCTGGCAAAGACATGGATAATAATACAGATCATGAGGGTACAATACTTGGAGAAGAAGTTGTTCTAAAACTTTCCTCAACAATACGTAACCCAGATGTTACACTTACATTTGATAGATTTTTTACAAGTGTAAACTTATTGGATAACATATCCTTTCCTTCTGTTGGTACTTGGTATTTCTCGTAGAAAAGCATGCCAAAAATTCTCTGACGAAAACTTCAAAAAGGTGATTCAGAATTTCTCCAGAATAGAAGAGGAATTCTTGCAGCAAGATGGCAAGATTCAAAGGAAGTTCTTATTCTGAGTAATTGCCACGGACCTGATGTCATACAAGTAAAACGCAAGCAGAAAGATGGAGAAAAAGTAATGACAAATTGTCCTACCGCTGTTGCCGACTATAACAGATTTATGGGAGGAGTAGATTTGTCTGATCAAAAGATATGCCTATATGATTTTGACAGAAGATCTACAAAATGGTGGAAAAAAGTATTTTATAAACTTTTGATGACAGCTGTTGTGAATGCACACATATGTTTCAAGAAACCAAACATAGGAAAAATACCTCTCTTGCAATACATTGTCCCCCTAGCCGAATTAATGATTGCTCATGGCAAAGAAAATGCAATTGTCAAGAGGAAGAAATCAGGTCGACCGTCAAATGCAACAAAAATGATGTTGAATGTTGGAGATCATTTGCCATTAGAAGGGCCAACAAGAAGAAGATGTGCCCGCTGTGCCAAACAAAATAAAGAAACCCGAACAAAAAATGTTTGCGCCATGTGTAAAATTGCACTATGTAAAAAACTGTTTTGCAATGTACCATACATAGAAATTTCATAAATAATGTTGTGTAGGTAGGTGTTTTCTGATAAAACTGTTTCAAAAGTATTGTGAAATTCATTTAGAACTAGAAAACTGAACTTTTCACTATGTTTTATATTGTCACTTCAACCCCAATGGGACACATGTGTCCCAACTAAAAAGACCAGTGGGACACATATGTCCCACCTCCAAAATGGCCCTTACAGTAAATTTTTGCTTATAATTGGGCAAAATATTGCTATTTCTACTTTATTTTACCTAATAAACCCCTAATTTATCTTTTTTTTTTTTTTTAAGAAAAAACTGGTTGTGAAAGGGTTAACTCGGGTTTACCAATGAGATAAAATTATCAAATATGTTGCGGACTCTATATTATTTGCACTTAATTTTTCTTATCAATTTTCTGCAATTTGATTGTGCTGTTTTGCAAAAACATGAAATTTTGAAACATGAAAGCATGAAAAGATTTTAACTTATCATAGTTATGTGTGACCAAATTAAATAAGGAATTTTAAGATACTTAAATTAGTTTTAGGGAAGAACATTAAGATAAATAATTATATCTGGCTGTAACGAAAGTTTTTCGCCAAAAAATGTTCTTAAAAAATTAGAAAAAAAAAAAAAAAAACATGAAAGCAGTAGCTTTAGTGGGGGCAGTAATCACCACCCAAATCTATGATTTTCTGCCAACGTTTCGGTAGTTTTCTAAAACCTTTGGCCTAGATACTTGGTGGCCGCGAGTGCAAACACAGATCAACCTCATTTCGAATGTCCTGTGCAGAACTGAAGATAGCACCTGAAAAATGTAGCTGCAGGAGTGAAAAAAGGTAGAAGTCCGAAGGAACGATGTCGGGGCTATATGATAGAGGTGGCAAAAGACCCCTTTCGAGTCCATGGAGTCTAGCCGGTGAATGCAGACACATGTGATCTGATGGCACATTACTTTTTTTTTGCGCCGAAACTCATTTCAACTTTTTTCCTTGATAGCAGCATCAACACGGACTAGCATATCGCTGTACAACCTACTGTTGAGGGTTTTACCTTCTCCCACATCCACTTTGTAGATAATACCGCGGCAATCCCAGCAGATAGAAAGCATGATCTTTTTGTTAGTCAAATTGCGCTTTGCGACGCTGCCGATGGGCTCGCGGGGCGCAGACTAATCCCTTTTTTGGCCTGTGTTGTTAAAGAAAATCCACTTTTCATCACAAATGATGATCCGGTCCAGAACTTTGTCTTTGCGTTGATATTTGAGCAGATTAGTTGCAGGCCCGAATACGTCTGTCCTTATCTGCTTGAGTTAGCTCATGCGGCACTCAGCGATTGAACTTGTACGTCAAGTTCATGCGATGCATAGCGCGACTAATGGACATGGCACTTATGTCTAAAATTCTTTAGCAAGCTCTCGAGCGGTTACATATTGATCATCTTCCACAAGTTCTCGCAGGTGGGCTTCATCAACATCACTATGCCGGTCAGAGCGCTCTGCTTTTTGAATGTCATAGTCCTTGTTTTTGAACTATCGGTGCAAACCTTCACAGTGTCATATAATACAACATTAGTACCTAAAGCCGTATACATGATTTGGTGACATTCTGTAGTTGACTTTTTGCAACAGAACTGGAAGTCTATGATGGTTCTAATCTGGTAGCGTGACAGTTCCATTTCAGACACCTCATACTTAATGATGACGATATTTTTTCACAAATTTCACAATACAGTGTTCTAAAGCAAGTTTCTTTCAAATGCCAAAAATCGTTTGACAAAATATGGTTAAACACGCCAAAGCGAATTGTTTGCGTAGACGATATTTGCGGTGGTGGATAACTTTCGTTAAAACCCGATATTTTTTAATTTATGATAGAAATTTTGAATTTTTGATGAGAATTTTTTAAGTTAGTGAAATAATTTTTAAAAATTATTATAAAATATGATAAACAGTATCTTTGAGTATTACTATAGCAAATATTAAATGTTTTCGTATAGAGTAATAACGTATAAAAATACGAGTAATTTAAGAAACTGAATAGTTGTCAAAAGTAGCATAGAATTATATGAACTAATTTTAAAATTTTATGGATGCTTATATGTTCAGACAAACTTTGAAGGCTCCCAATTTATTTTTTTCGTATATAATTATTATTATTTTCAATAAAGTGCAGTGTAGCTTGTCCAAAGGGACTTTTGTCCCTGAAGGACTATTGTTTTCGTTTTGCGATTTTGCGTTTGTTCATTATCAATATCCGTTTCACTTTCTAAACTGTTGTCGCCAAATATTAAGAGTCCTGCATTGTATTTGAGAAATTAAATAATGAAAAATCTGCATAAATGTATGCATATTTTTCGCATTGTGATAAAACAACGGTACATAGAGCCATCGAATTTTGAATGACGTAATCCTACTGCGAATATGGGCATGTGGAAGCACAAATTTCAAATTTGGAATTTGTTTTATTATCGATTTCATATTTTGTAAAACTTTTAACGAATTTTTGATTAAGCGAGCAATAGCAACGTTGTAAAAAAAAAATCTCCAGCGCGCGAGACTCTGTATCGAAATTCTAAAGATATTGTTACGTTTTTCCTAGTCTTCTGACACCAGTTGTTGCGTTATTTTCTTCATTCACGTTCGTATGGGTTTGTAGATTTGGAGTGAATAACGACGACACTTGATGAAGTATCGAAACACACTTTGTTTAGCCAATATTAATCCAGACATCTCCAATAACACTTTTTACAGTCGTCGAAAATCTACTATAAACACACTGGAACAATCAGCGACACAGCCTTCACACTGTCAGGCAATAACGGTGGAGATAGCTTCACTGCAAAGCACCAGAGTAAAACTTCCGACTCTGTTTGGTCGTTCTCGGAACTTCACGTACTCTCGAGACTCTCCACGCGATGCACTCGACGATACACAAGCACAGCTCCCGACTCTTCGGTTTATTTGTTCCCGGAGCTCAACACGCTCTCTCGACGATGCACTAACCGCGATACACTAACAGACTCCTCCGGTGCACTCGACAACCCACTCGTCACTCGTTGCGCCCGGCTGTCAATTCGATCGAGTACGCACTGCTCTCTAGACGAGGCACACTCTCTGAGACACACTAACTGACTGCGGACCAACAGGGTTTATATAACTTTCGACTTGTGTTCGAGAACATTCTGGGCTAAACCAGTAAGTATTCGTTCCAGAAGGTTCTCCATCCGTCCATGGTATATCGCCAAATGGGCGATTTTTCGCCAAATGTGGCAACCCTGCATTCTCTTGCTATTTTATGACAACCCTAAAACTGCGTTGCGGGGAAGCCATCTTACCGCGCCCGTGCATTTCGTAACAATATGCTCAATTTAAAACTATTTTGCGATATTGCTCTTGAATTGAATTTTATCGTTTAAGTGCGAAGAACTTGATATTTAATAAATAAAGGTAATAAACAAAATATTAAAAGAACGCCCCTTTGGACCTAATTTAAAAATCTTAAATCTTTCAGTTTTTTTTTTTTTTTTTTTTTTTTTTTTTTTGAGGGGTGAAATAGAACCAAAAGCTTCTCTTGGTAAGCTTCCATACTGTATAGTTCACTTTAGCTTCAATCTCTGTGTCGTTTAGACGGTATTTCATTCCGCTTTCTTTCTGTCGCAACATCGGTGCAAAACATCACTTACACCAGAATACTGCTGCCACCCCTTTGTATCCGGCCAACTGTGCACTTGGGTTTCCATTGGAAATTGGCATATTCGCACTTGCCAGTCATGACCCATTGCAGGCATTGTTGGTGGTTACGTGCCATCACACAGGGATGCAATTCGAACACTGGTAGTTTAAGCCCATACGCAACTGGCATCCGTGTGTTGAACTACACCATCTGGGTCGCCACTGTTGATTTTGGCCGTTGCAGCCTTTTGGCCATGGCAAACAATGTGCAACAGTCTCCGCTGTCCTCTGGAATCAATGTACCGTGGCTGAGAAGTTGGTTGGTTGACTTTTAATGGCATAAAACCTTGAAGGTTATTATGCGCCACATGAATGGTGAATATAATCCAAAATGTACAAACACACTGTATCAGATGAATTGTTGAAATGAACCTGTAATACTGATGAAGGCATGGTGTGTGGTGTGGTGTATTTAATTATGACAAAGCACACTAGGGCTATCTGCCTAAGGGGAGGGATGCCTTCGGGGAGGACTTTCTAAGGGAAACTGGCTCATATACACCTTACACATGGGGAAAACCACGAAAACACCCATGCAGCCAGCCCGTTCGTGGGATTCGAACCTCGGACCGAACTACCAGTGTTCAGAGACTTTACCGCTCGGCCGCTGGTGGGCGATGAAGGCATGGAGAAATGACTTTTTGAGAAATCACTTCTAGAGCAATTTGGAGTTGTCTTTCAATGCATCTCATATCTTGACCGTGACAATAGATCAACATACAGGGAACCATGCACTGTGGGAGGAAGTTCTCTTAAAATGGAATTAATTTTCAGGCTGAAAGAGTGATACTGAGCACCGAACCTTGGGGTACACCTTCTTGTTGTACAAATACTTGAGAAAGCAACGAACCAATCTTAACTTGGAAAGTGCGGTCCTACAGAAAGTTTTGAATGAAGATGGGTAAATTACATCCCAACCCAGTGCTGTAAGGATCCATGCCGCCAAGTTCTATCGTACGCCTTTTCCACGTCAAAGAAGATTGAAACACATTATTTCTTTTCACAAATGCATTGCGTACTGCGGTTTCTAAAAACAGGGCATTGTCACGTGAAGATCTTTTTTAGGATACCAAAGGAAACCACTTTGGTAAGGCAATGATTATTCTCCAGATAGTAGGTGAGACGGCGATTTACCATTTTTTCTATGATCTTGCAAAGGCAGCTAGTGAGCGCGATGAGGCGGAATTTAAAGGATTTTTTGGATCCTTGCTGGGTTTCGCTGTAGGGATTACAAAGGCCCTGCACCAGGCAGTTGGAAAAATTTGTTCCTTCCATATCTGATTATAAAGAACCAGAAGGACCACTAGAAATTCATATGGCAGATGCTTTATCATCAAATAACTTATGCCATCAGGACCAGGGCAAGTCCTTTCAGTGCGAGATATTACACTTCTTGGTGAGATCTTTATTATAAGATTCTGCATTAGGATGGGAAAAGTCGATCTGAATCCTTTCCAAGCGCATCTTGGTGGACAGAAATTCTTTTGAATAATTGCTACTGCGAGATACAGCAGCAAATGTATTACCTAAAGCATCGGCGATTTCTTCTCTAGTGCTTATCAACTTTTCATTAAAACAGAAAAAGAAATAATCATTATATAGTCCAGAGGATTTGCGGACTCTTTCCCAAACCTGTTTGCTAGACATTGAGGAGGTAATAGTGGATACGTAGGCTGCCTATGATTTTTTCTCTGACTTTGCCGCCTAACTTTTCTTGCATTCGCCTTAGTTTTTTTTAAGGGCAGAAGATTTGCCAGTGTTGGATATCGGCGAAAGATACGTCAAGCTTTCTTTTGCTCTCTCGAAGTTTCATGACAATCACTGTTCTACCAGGGTTTAGGGAACTTTGTCGAAGACTTCGGAATACAGAGTTCAGCTGCTTGTACAACAGTTTTAGAGATCATTTTTACTGCTGCAGGGGTGTAGCTAGAGAGGGGCATCTGTCCTTGGGCGCAGAATCCAAGGGACGCCAAACTGATGTTACGACATTTTAGAATTAAATGTTTTCCATCCTTGGCAAGCAGTAGGGGACGCGAAATCTTCCGTTGTCCCTGGGCGCTGAAAACCCTAGCTACGACTCTGTACTGCTGCATTAATCTCCACATCGTTTACCATTTCTTCAGTTAGCACAACACAAGATGCAAAAACATCCCAATCAGCTTTATTGTAAAGTAAGCGTGGATGTCTTGAGGTCATTGACTTCCCTGTAATATTTGCAATCACTGGGAAATGGTCAGTATCGTAGAGATTCTCCACCACACTAAAAGAGCAAAAAGGTAGTAAAGATGAGGAACAAAAAACCAGATAAATTGCATGAAATGTTCTAGTTGGCTGATGAAAGTAGGTGTAATCCCCATTATTAAGGAGACAAACAGAATGATCTTACTTTAATTATTCGATCTGCCGGCCCCTTTAATTATAGTGTCTCTACTTCCCCATAAGGTACTATGTGCACTGAATGCACCTAAAAGCAAAAAAAGGTTCTGGGAGCTGCTCTATTATTATGTCTAACTCTCGCTGATCAACATGCTCATGTGAGGGTAAATAAATATGCATACCGAGATTGAAAAGCATAAATTAATCTGGATCGCCCGCCACAGCTTGAAGGGAGGTCGTCAAAAAGAGAGCAGTGTATGGGTGATAAGGCCCACACCACCACAGGCACGATCCCCAAATGGTTTGTCCATTTTTACTGTATATCTCCGTATCTTAACATGTCTGCTTGGTTTTAACAAGGTCTCCTGGAGTGCAAAGCAGGCAGGTTGATAGACGTTGATTTAATCCTTGATATTATCCAGGTTTTGAGTGAAACCCCGGCAATTCCATGATATAAATGTACCCATTATGGATGCTTGTTTTATTTTTACTTTCGAGGCAAAAGGTGTTTCAAAAGAGATAACCTTTGTTCAACGTCCATTTCGTCTGAAATGCTCTGAACTCATGCTTGCAATAGAACTTTGACTGGGGGTCCTGGATTGTTGCTTATTTTTTCTCTTTGGTAACATCTCTATGTTTGTTCTGTTGGACATCCTGTTTTCCTTTAGACGCAGTCACCGTCACTTCTACTTTCAACATCAGATTTTTCCCAATTTTTGGTTTCTAGGATCTTCTGTCACTCGGAGATTCTTTTTTCTAAGCAGTTATTGTGGTTTCCGTTGATATTTATCTGAATGATTTTGTTGTGGATGCATAAGATTTATTAAGTCTTGGCTGATTAGAGAGAACAAGTCTTTTGGCGTCTGCAAATGATATCTTTTGTGTAAATTTAATGTTTTGAATTTGTTTTTTGTCCGAATTGCCATTTCGGACATGAGCTTGAAAAAGCTGGGTGCTCACCTTTACAATTTATACATAATGGGGCAGCAGAGCAGCCTTCACTTGGCATGGCCGACGGTGGAACATCGAGAGCACGTGAGGCTACCGCGACAAGAGGTCTTTCCATGTCCAAAGCGCTGACATTGAAAGCAACGCAGTGGATTCGGTATATACGGCCTGACTGAACAGTTTAGGTATCCAGCTTTTATGTTTTTAGGCAGATTAGGAGATATGAAAGGAAGTAACATATTTAGCGGGAATGAGTTGACCTTCTCTTCGTATTTTGATCCTACGAGCACCACACACGTTTTGTTCTGCCAACTCTTTTAACAAATTCCTCTTCAGTTACTGTCAGTAAGTCTATTTCAGAGATTACTCCTCAGGACGAATTTAGAGTATTATGTGGCTTAACTGCAATGTTTGCTTGTTCTAATGTAGTTAGTTTCAAAAGACTATAGACTGCTTTCTGGGCATCTATCAAAAGGTCTCCAGACCGAAGTCTCTTAATATTTTTCAGTTCTCCTATAAAAGACAAAAGATGTGTGTTTATTAGAAAAGGTGACTTTTTTTCAATTCTTCAGAGCTGGTTATAATTAAGAAACAAGGAAAAAATACATTTGATACATTGCTTTCTATGTCACTTCTTAGTCTTTTAGTCACAATCGGAGTATCGGGTACATTGTTGGAGCAGGAAGGTATCATAGCGTTCATATTTAAATGGAGAAAAATTCGGGTCCGACCGCCCCACCCAGCATGGAGACCAACAAGGGGACGCAGATCCCTACGCCAGAGCTAGCCGGACCTATACGCAAAGAAGTTCCACAGTCAGCTTTTCCAAAAGCAGCTCCCAAAAGTCAGCTTTCCCCCCCCAAGCCACTGACAGAAGGACTAGTGACTAGCCGATTGACACCCGTAAGGATGACAAGGTGCCTCCTGTTTAACTGAAGCAGGGGCCAAAGCAGTGTGTTGGGGATAGTACCTTGCCCCTCAACTACCAGGACCCTCCTTTCCAGTGACACGGGTCTCCACGCACGGCAAACATGTGGGCAGTTTTCTCGCCACTTGGAGAAGTAGGAACAAGGCTGTTCCAGTTTCTTATGACAAGCCCGAACCTCAGAAGAGGAAACCATAAGGGAGAAGGAAAACGATAAAAGTTGCAGTTAAGAGGAGAGATCACTGAGGCTCCAGGATTGTGACACTTGATCACCAAGACGGTAATCCACTGAAGGATCTTCATCCGCTATGCTTTAGTTGGGCATGTTGGAACGGCCTTCACGCCTAGGGTGGCACTACCAGGAGCTACTTCCAGTGACATCCCACCCTGCCACATTGAGGCAGCATGGCAGGATTTGGTGGGGATTGTGCTTGAGAAATCGCTAGCCGATGACTTGTCATTTCACTATCCTTACATCACTTTCTCCATTGGTTCACAACAGCTGCACACGAACAGCCCACCAAATGTGCTGTTTCAGAAAATTACATTACTGACGCCAAAGTTACAGCATAGGGCAGTAAGCAGTGCATGTAATGCAAATACTAACAAACTGAATGCTAAAATTTACAAGACACGAAACTGAGAATAGAAAACACTGACAATGCAAATAAGAATAAACATATTTACAGATATGTACATAATGTTTCCTGCTTTGCCAGGAGTTACAAAAACTTTGGAGAACTTAAACAGTGATTCAGCGGAAAGGCTAATAAGCTGGATTATGTAGGTCGAATTCTTGATTTATATACTCCAGCATCAACCATGCATGCCATGGTTTTGTTTTCTGACAAGCTCATTGCTCTAGGTGAGTGGTAGTCATAATCTAATGGCTGTTTGGTGCATAACTAAAGTATTTAATAAAAAGCCAAAGTGGTAATATTTACAAGTATTTTTCAGAATCTTATCACCTCATTATAGTCAATACTGTTATTTATCAGTAAACATACAATTTAGAAATAGTTAGGCTTTTACAGTAACACAAATTTGTGGAGAAAAATTGGGAGATTAAAAAGAAAATGGCTATTTTCAAATTAAAATGCTTCTTATACAATACAATGCTGTTTTTTTCATGTATGTATGTGTTTCTAAAAGAATGAGGGGAAACAGGATATGCAAAGATCATAAGAGATTTATTTTATAGTTGATCAAACAAGATTGGGAATGTTTAGTTAACAAATACAATACAAACATATGCTTAATCATACAAAATTATATTTCAAAGTTTAATCATAAAAAATTAGATTTTTTCCCTTTTGGAAAAATAAAAGGCAGCAACTACATGTCAGCAAATGTTGTTCCAGCATATCCAACATTAGCTCTTTCCAGATTCACATAAGTAATGTACATTCTGAAAAATAAAATAGTGTTATATATAATACTGTTCATAAAACACTGATTATATATTTTAAACACAAATTTACTAGATTTAAAATGTTAGCAATAATTATTTTAAAGAAAACTGCATGAATATCAATAGCAAGACAAGTATATTTGTATTCCATGCACAAATTACTTCACTTATGTCATATAAAAGAATACTACAGTCAAATACCGAAAATCCGCCGATCTGAAATCCACCAACTCCTGAAATCCGCATTGCCTCTCAAAATATAAACATTCAATTTATAGGTTCCAGAAAATGCAACATGGAGAATGAAATATGGAAGAAAAACACTTAATGAACAATGCCGTCATAATTACCGAATAATAATGACTCATAACGGAAATACGAAATTATTGACATCATGATAAAAGGTGCCACCCCCTCTAAACTGTATCGAGATAAAAAGTAAATCATCAGAGTTTCTGAAAAAAATTCTTTAAGGTGACTATTCTATGTCACACTATGATTGAAAAAAAAAAAAAAAAAATTATTTGTTAGCAAAATTGTGAAATTCTGTTTCCCAAACAACATTAGTAAATGTCTGCCATATTACATGGCCATCTTCTCTGTTTATTGAAACTGAGAGCGATAACAGTGAATTTTCTGATTTTAGAGTCAGTGCAGCAAGGGTTAAAGCAAGAAAATTGCTTTTATATTCAAAAGAAAGAATAAATGAGAAGGCTTTGGAAGAAAAAGATATTGTTGAATGTATGATGTGTTCAGATGACCAATGATGAAATCATTGGCTCTGTTTTGAACTCATCACAGCAAGAAAATAATTCTGACACCGACACAAACAGTGAATTTGATAGAAGTGAGAAAATATCTTTTAATGAGAGTTTGGAACATAGTGAAAAATACCTAAATTTTTTAAAACCACAGAGGTGAGTCACAGAGCAAGAGATTATGACTCTATATAATTTACACACACACACACACACACACACAACACAAAAAAAAAAAAAAAAAAAAAAAAAAAAAGCTTACACTGGAGCACCCTAAAGTTTTAAAACAAACCTCTACCAGAAAACTGTTTGAAACATGTAAAAATAAATAAATAAATATTTTATGCTTTATTAATAGCCTTCATTGTATAAGTCCTTAATGTTTTTAAATATCCCTGTAATGACTAATATAAATGAATAATATAATAAATATATGTAATAATTTAATCACATATAATAATATAATAATGTACATGTCTATTATTGTAATAATGTATATAATAATTTAATTAAATGTATCTAATATGACTTATTTATTTTGTACTTTTAGTCTGAATATTATGATTTATTTTTTATGTCCTGAAATCCTCTAGACTTCTACTGTATTACAATATGATTTCTTTATTCATTTATCAAAAGTAATTTCGACAAATTTTGAGACCTATTAGGCCAACATCTTAATCTGGCATTGATAAACATGAATGGAGAAACAATACAAAATGACCAGAGTATTTGAGACTCTAGTCATGTTTCACACAGACTAGTCATTTTTAAAATGTCAAGATACCAGGCATATAAGAAAACTATTTAAAAAACAATTGCATAATCTTCTATGATTTAAATCTTTTCAAACCAGTGATATATGCTATTATGGTACTGCCATATTCTGTCTCATTTGCAGCAGAAAGCAAGTATCTGTATTTTCATATTTTATTTTTAATTTGAATGGGATATCCTTGTTGCTGTCTTGCTGTAACCTTTCTCATTTAGAGAAGAGAACAACTATCTTCATGTCCTGTTTTTAACTCGGAATAAAATATAACTTAAGACACAATAACACGCCGAACAAATACTAATTCAGAAGTCAAACAACAAAAATCAGCGTTATATTCACAAAATTTTCACAGGACTAGTTTCGATGGTTTTACCGAACCATCATCTTCAGCTGCAAAACCGCAAATGAACAAGATAGGAAATAATGATTAGATAAGGAAGCCTGGACAAGAATAAGCAAGTGGCGCCATCTGTTGGCGAAACCAGAACTAAAACATAATTTCTCTAAAAGCCGAAGGCAAATTTGGATTGGAATTAGGATCGTTAACTAGAACAGAAAGATTTTTATGAATGTGAAATGCCTCTAGAAAATCCAGTTCTCCAATGGAAGATGTTTTTTGAATAATTTTGGCAGCAGAAAATTGAAAGTGTGATTTTCGGACCAACAATGTTGAGCAACAGAAGACTTCTGTGTTTCCTTTTTTCTAACATATGCCTCATGTTCTTTGACGCGAAATTTTAAGGCTCTCTTAGTTTGGCCAATGTAAATTAAACCACACTGGCAAGGAATCCTATAAATACCCCAGGAATTCATATCCGGAATGGGGTCCTTGAGTATAGAAGTTGGAATTTTATTGATGGGAGAATAAACAACTCGAAAGTTAAATTTCTGCAAAATATGTGCAACTTTATAGCTAATTGATGGAAAGAAGGGAATGACAACAGAATTTTTATAATCTCCTAAAATAAGAGTGTGGCTTTTAGTGTGTTGAGATGAGAATTTTTTAACTGCTTGATTAATAATGTTGGGTGAAAAGCCCCTGTCAATAGCTATTGCTTTTAAATAATTTAGTTCTTCGTCAAGGGCTAGTTTGGAGGAGCAAACTTGAAGAGCACGGAAAACATAGGAATAAAATGAAGCTAACTTTTGTTTAGTCGGATGACATGATTTAAAGTGTGGTGGAAGGCAAACCGATGAAGGTTTACGGTAAACTGTAGTACTGAAGTTGGATGTGTTACGTGTGACCAGAATGTCGAGAAACGGAAGAGAATTGCAAGTCTCGAGTTCAAAAGTGAACTGAATAGCAGGATCAATAGAATTCATTGTTGAAAGAACTTTATTTAAATCATCTTTATTACCTTCAAACAGGGTAAAAGTATCGTCTACGTAGCGGAACCATGCCGGGAAGTTTTAAAGTTTCAAACAATTTTGATTCATAATAATGCATGTAGATATCAGCCAGGATGGGACTGAGGGGGCTTCCCATGGCTAATCCCTCAGTTTGCTTGTAATATTTATTTTGGAAAACAAAATGTGTTTGTTTCAAACAGAGTTGAGTGAGAGAAAGAAATTAGCTCATCAATTTCGATGCAAGAGAAATGAAATTCACGAAGTCTGGTTTCTAGACATCTTAATGCACCCTCCACTGGGACATTGGTGAATAATGATTTTACATCAAAAGAAACCATGAGTAAATTACTAGGAGAAATGTTTTTAACCTTTTTTACAAACTCTATTGAATTTTTTATGGTGTAAATGTTATTGTCTAATAGAGTGAAAAATCTAGAAACTAAATATTTAGCTAATGGATACGAGGCAGTACCTAAATTTGATACAATAGGGCGGAAAGGAATACCACTTTTATGAATTTTGGGAAGAGCATATAATCTGGCACAATTCGCAACAGGTGGGATAAGCGAATGTTTTAAGTTGCTTGAAATGATTTGCGAAGATTTGATCGCAGTTTTTATTTTGGATAAGTCCGAAGGTGAAGGATCTTTAGGGATCGTATTATATGGTCCTTCGTTTAAGAGTTTTGTGACACCATCGATGTAAATGTTCTTATCCATGACGACTATCTGGCCACCTTTGTCGGCCTTTGAAATGATAATATCCGGGTTAGAATGAATTTCGCGCATTGTAGCTCTTTCTCTCGCAGTTAGATTTGGTTTCAAAGGTTTATTATTGAATTTCACATTATGAGCGATAAGATGCCTAATCATTTCTTTCTGTGAATCTGAAACTTTACTGAACTTGAAAGCTTTTTCTATAGGAGCCAAAATCTTTGGAATCGAGGGTTTACAGGTTTGTGAGAAGTTAAAATTATATTTTAGAATTCTCTCTTGTTCTTCCGAAAGACTAACATTAGAAATATTAACTATTGGCTTGATGTTTACAATGGGAAGATTTTTTGAGCTACTTGAACTGGAAAACTGTAAAAGAAGTTTTCGAATTTAACTGCAAGGGTGATTTTATGACGGATAACTGCATTCTCCGTTCTAGACCAAGACTTTTGTTCAAGGGCAGTGAATTTTGGATATGATTTAGCGAGTTCCAGATGAAGCTTATAGAGTTCATGTTCAATTTTGGACAATTGTTGACGTGTGTTCCTTATCACGGACCGAAGTAAGGCAAGTTTGCAATTTAACAGAATTCTTGAAACGCGACTCGAAGGTTTTTGATTAGATTTGATTTGAATAAAATTGGGGATCAATTTTTTACATTTACATTTAAGTAAAAAGTCAAGATGATTCAGGAATTTTTGCCGTTTCAGGCGTAATTTAGTGAAACGATTAACGGATGAAGGCATGATAAACAATGCAGAAAATCAAACTAAATTAACTGAGCAATAATAAAGTACACACAATACAGCAGAAAAATCCCTCACTGAAATGAATAGAAAATAAAACGTTTGTAAGCAAAATGCATAAAATCAGACAAGCAAAGCACAATATCCAAATGTACAAAACATAAGCATAACTTGAAAGTTGCAAAAATGTACTCACCGAAACTCCTACAATCACAAAATGGCGGCCACACCACGTGCAAAAAAGAAAGCAAATGGTATTCCTTTCCGCCCTATTGTATCAAATTTAGGTACTGCCTCGTATCCATTAGCTAAATATTTAGTTTCTAGATTTTTCACTCTATTAGACAATAACATTTACACCATAAAAAATTCAATAGAGTTTGTAAAAAAGGTTAAAAACATTTCTCCTAGTAATTTACTCATGGTTTCTTTTGATGTAAAATCATTATTCACCAATGTCCCAGTGGAGGGTGCATTAAGATGTCTAGAAACCAGACTTCATGAATTTCATTTCTCTTGCATCGAAATTGATGAGCTAATTTCTCTCACTCAACTCTGTTTGAAACAAACACATTTTGTTTTCCAAAATAAATATTACAAGCAAACTGAGGGATTAGCCATGGGAAGCCCCCTCAATCCCATCCTGGCTGATATC